ATCTTTCCATTAGCAATCATGGATGGTAAATGTACACCACCCAAGTTCTCCTTAAGCAACCAAAAGCTGTGGGTGTTTTCAATGAGTAGGTAAGACTTCTCCATCTGTAGAATGTTTGTTATGTTTATTGTCGTGTGTCGCTGTAATGCCATTGAGTCCATTAAAACTCACAGCAACCTGATGCAAAACAGATCTGAAACTTGCCCTAGTCTGTGCCATCGTCACCGTCTCTGATATGCTCAAGCCCACTGTTATAACTACTGTGTCAATCTACCGTGTAGTGGGTCTTCCTCCCTTTCTCTGATTCTGTTACCTTTATCTAAAAGTCTTTCTTCTCCCAAAGACTGGCATCTCCTGACAACATGTCCAAAGTATGTGAGAGAAAGTTTCACCATCCTTGCCTCTCAGGAGCACTCTGTCCAAGACAGACTTGATTTTACTGGCAGTCCATGGGACATTCAGTAATCTTTTCTAACATTACACTCCAAAGCATCAAAACTCTTCATGACTCTCATGTGCCAACACCTGATTTACGGTCATTTTTCATTTTTCCATCTGCTCAAGTGAGTAGATGGTAGTCTTTGCTGCCATCCTTGGTGACGGCAATTACTTCCTTTTCCCTGAGGAATTATAGAAAGTCACACTTGAAAAGTCATGTAAATGCTTAAAATCAATTTTGCCTTTAAGGTAGAATTTGCTTTGATATGTCACATCTAATAAAATGAACAAATATTGACTCAGAGACTGCATCTACCGAATAACAAATAGAAAGTCTACTCTTAAAACAACAAGGGGAAACAGTTTAAAAATCTTAGCACAGCCAGAGGTGCCAGAATAAAGACACTAACAGAAGCAAAGGAAATTACTTTGACAAACAGGTTGATAAATAGAAGCCAAATAAAAAAAATAGACTAACCTCTTCAATCTTGCTCTCAATTTTCAGTTCACCATTTTCCTGGATAGACCTGTTGAGTAGAAAACTACAAAACTGAGATAATTTGTAAGGCTTTGTGACTTCAAGACTTATTACCAAGTAAATTGCCACAACACAAACCCAAGGTGGCTAAATTCTTTCTTTCCTTCTGCGCCAATCCCCTCCAGGACAACCAGAGGAAACCATGAAAATTCAGGAGAAGGAATCCCCTTAAATCCATAATCTATGAACATGTTCATTCTTACCTAATGTACTGTTTCTATTAAAATGAAACTATCTTACCCTCTACCTTACACTTAACAAGAAATTTTCAATTAAAGACAAGAAGTGTGTTTAAGGACAGGTTTGTCTGCAGGTGTTTCCTGAGGACTTAATGCAAAATTGAAATTTTCCCTAGACAGAAAAGAGATCTAAACACCCCACCAAGCTACATGCAGAAGCATCCTTATCAAGAAGATGCATACAGGCTCCCACGGTGGGAATCGAATCAATGCTGCACTACATGCTTTGAAAAAACATTTCAGTATGAAAAGCTTGGGGGTGGAGCACAAGATTATCACTGGATACCCTTGTAGCTAGGATTAAAATTCTAATCCAAACTTATCAGCTCACGATTCTGTTATTCTTATATTTCTTAACACCAAGAAATACAAAATAATGTGAATTTTTCTTCATACAACATATTAACAGTTCCAAATCTATTTTCTTAACCTATTTTCTATCTCCTGATCTACTATGAAGCAAAGATTATACACTCACATACACAAACACACACCCCCAGAATGCTTCCAGAGCTACACCTGAGAGAGCTCACAACTCGTCTAGCCTGCTCCTATGAAGACATTCATCATCACATTGTTCTTAAGACGATTCTCTTCTGCAAAGGTTTTTGCAGGAGGCATCCGTATCCTTGTTCAAGCTACCCAGAAATATGATTTCCATCTTAGCAGTGTGAACTTAAAGCTCTATTACCTACACAAAGAGGGAAAACTATGACAGAGAACACTGAGGAGGAGATCATAGGTACACAGAGACTGACACTGACGTGGAGGTTTGACTGAGCTGAACATTATAATCAGCTCAAGAGATCAGAGATTGCTAGAAACAGCCCACATGCAGACTAAATAGTGATGAGTCTGTTTTGCTTAAAAATATTTTCTCCCAAACCAAGGCACATCAATAGCATATATATTACAACTGAAATATATTTGTAAAACCCCAATTTTATTCTTAAATTGAGCAAGAAAAAAAAAAAAGAAAAGAAAATTACCTCATATTAACGACGTTGCCCCAAACAGCTGCAAGGGGAGGGAAAAAAGACAGTATTTAAATTCACGACTTTCAGAAAGGCCAACTGATAAAATTTTAATACTTGTAATTTTAAACAGTAACTTTAAAGTTCACTAAGAAAATTAAATCATAGTTCATCAAGGCAATAAAATGGACCCTTTGTATTCTAAACAACTTGGAAACAAAGCAAAAATAAATTTTTTTTAAAAATCTCTGTAGTTTTAAAACGGCAAGTATGGCACAGGCTAGAACAAGGTTCAGATCCATTGTTTATGGGGTCACTATGAACTGTACTTGATTCAATAAGACCTAACAGCAACAATAATTTTAGAATATCACTTTTAGGGTTTGGTAGAATACTGGAGTTCAACTGAGTTCCAATGGGTTTTTCTGTATCCACCCAGGGTATTCCCCCTCCAACACTTCTCACATTTCTTTTATATTATAGTTTCATGATTGTTGTCCTGCCTCTGTTGGCGACAGACCCCTGGCAGACTATCATATACTTCATGTGCAGCTTGTTGTTGTTGTGTTGTTATGTGCCGTCGAGTCACTTTCAACTCACAGCAACCCTATTTTTAAGAGCCCTAAACCCTGCTCTATCCTGTGCCAACCTCACTGTCTCCGACACACCAACTCCCATAACCCCAATCACGGAACTGATCCATCTCATTGAGGGTCTTCCTCTCTTGCACTGTCCCACCACCCTCCCCAAAATTATGTCCCTCTACAAGGATTGGTCCCTCTTTTTCAACATGCCCAAAGTATGTCAGATGGAATTTCAGAATCTTTGCCTCAAAGGAGCAGCCTGGTTTCACTCTCTCCAAGTGAACCCGTTTGTTCTCCTAGCAGTCCATGGTATACTCAACACTCTTCTCCAGGACCACAGCTCAAAGGCATCAATTCACTATCATCCCTAGTCACTGTCCAGCTCACCAGCATAAAGCATCCAATTGTGAAGACTATGGCCCAGATCAGGCACACCTTAGTCTCCAGCTTGACATTGTCGCTCTTCAGTACTCTGGAGAAGTCCCTAACAGCTGACTTTCCCAGTGTAATTCGTCTCTTGATTTCCTGTCTGCTGTTACCAAGAGTGTTGATTGTAGAACCAAACAAACTAAAACTGCTAACAATCTCAATGTCTTCACCATCCATTATGATGCTGCTAATGTGGTGAGAATCTTTGTTTTCTTGATGTTGAGCTTCAATCCATATTGAAGGCTGCAGTCCTTGACCTTCTGCAGCAAGCACTTTAGGTCCTCCCCAGTTTCAGCAAGCAGGGTTGTGTGTCATCTGCATAATGCCAGTTGTTGATGAATCCTACTCTAATCCTGATGCCACATTCCTCCTTGTATAGCCCAGCATACAAAATGATCTGTTCTGAATATAGACTGAAAAGGTATGGAGACAGAATACATCCCTGGCGAACACCCTTCCTGATATACAGCTAGACTTTAAAAAAAAATGGATTAAATCAGATGTGCCCTAACATTTAACTATGGATGTTGTTGTTGTTGTTATGTGCCATCGAGTCGTTTCCGACTCATAGCGACCCTATGCACAACAGCTCTAAACCTTGCTCTATCCTGCGCCAACCGCATCGCCTCTGACACACCCATCCCGATTACCCCAGTCACCGAATCAATCCATCTCATAGAGGGTCTTCCCCTCC